TTTCTAAGGCATACAATCATTCATATTAACAGTTGTTATGTGTTTACTATTTATACAAAACCATTAAAATATATGACACATTAATTCATACAAATAAATAACATATTTTATTCAAAACCATAAAACATTTCGCAAAATTAAATTTTTACTTTATTATTAATGCCTTTTTGCATAATAATCTTTAGCTTAACTTAAAATAGCAATAAAAGTAATAAAATCATAGGAAAAATGTTGCATTCAAATTTAATATTGATACTATTGCCTAAAGTTGTATTTTTATAGCTTTTGGAAAATAGATTTACAAATATAATATTTGAAAATTTTAATAATAAATGAATTCTAACTTATCTAGAACACATTATTCTATAATTATTTAAACTACTAAACTTTCGGTAAATTTTAATACCAAAAAAATGTTTACAGACTTAAACACCAGATTAAGTCTTATTGAGATTTCTTAATTAAAGAACTTATCGATAATTAATTAGCACTTGAAGTTAGGATTAGACTCTTGTTATCTAATGTTACTGTGAATTTAATATAATTAACAATTTAAATGTAATTCGTGAATTAATTTATTACAAATGTTCATGTATTTTGTCATTTAGATTACTAATATAGATATTATAATTTAGTCAACTAATGAGCATTTATAATTTTGAAAATCTCTCTCTCTCTCTCTCCTGACATCAGAAATTATTTTAATTTTAAATTTAATTCTAAAACTATAGCACAAACATAACAAATGTTGGTCTAAAATATAATTATTTAGTTCATTAAACAGACAAATTGTTATTTGAATCACAAACTTATGTTTAATTTACATTTCGGTGAATAATTCAAATGTTTACTCGCGTTATATACCATTCTCTGTATATAACAATGCATTTAATATTATAACAAAAATTCATTAAAATGTCTGTTAAATAGTTGTCATTAAATATTCAGAGCATAGAAAACAATTCCTCTATTCTTTCTCTGAAATTAATTTCACTGAAACTCTACTATAATATAAATTTTAGGACAAAATTGTTTTGTAAAAAATATTTTCTAAATATTAAACAATTGGAGCTTAAATTGGGTTAAAATAATAATTATAATTAAGCCTTTATTGCAACGGATGTTAAAATATTTGGTATTCAACGAAAAATTTCACATTAAAACAATTGTTAATGAATTGAGACTTAAAGTTATTCGGTGTGAAGACATAAAGACAATATAATTAACAACAATTAGTCCTCTTTTAATAAATTGTTTGACATATTAAACCTCATTTTTAATTAATTAGTACAACACATGTGTTTCAGTTTGAATTTCAAAATTAATTTTCATTCAATGTCTTCTCATTAATTACTGGCAAAAACTAATACCTAATACTAAAAGAGTAATTCATGTGACATCAAAAGATAGATAGGATGAGAGAGAGAGATAACAATGCATTTAATATTATAACAAAAATTCATTAAAATGTCTGTTAAATAGTTGTCATTAAATATTCAGAGCATAGAAAACAATTCCTCTATTCTTTCTCTGAAATTAATTTCACTGAAACTCTAATATAATACAAATTTTAGGACAAAATTGTTTTATAAAAAATATTTTCTAAATATTAAACAATTGGAGCTTAAATTGGGTTAAAATAATAATTATAATTAAGCCTTTATTGCAACGGATGTTAAAATATTTAGTATTCAACGCAAAAATTTTACATTAAAACAATTGTTAATGAATTGAGACTTAAAGTTATTCGGTGTGAAGACATAAAGACAATATAATTAACAACAATTAGTCCTACTTTAATAAATTGTTTGACATATTAAACCTCATTTTTAATTAATTAGTACAACACATGTGTTTCAGTTTGAATTTCAAAATTAATTTTCATTCAATGTCTTCTCATTAATTACTGGCAAAACCTAATACCTAATGCTAAAAGAGTAATTCATGTGACATCTAAAGATAGATAGGATGAGAGAGAGAGAGAGAGAGAGAGAGAGCGAGGAAGAAAAATCATTTACTATAAGAAAAATCATTTACTGTAAGAAAAATATTATTATTAGTTTTTGTGTTCAAATCAAACACACATATCAGGAGTTGCCATATAATTAAGATATTGATGGGAATAGAGAGCACTCAATAGATTTTGACCACAAATAATAATTAGACGAATGTCTTACTGATGGCCATCTTTTCTTTCCTCTCTTTTATTACATTTCTCTATAGAAACCATTCATTTGACGTACATTTCAAGAGCACACCGGCCGGAGCCCAGGGTTTCCATCACCAGCACTCAGTCGACCGGACGGGTGCTATCAAACGCAAAGGCCAGGGATTGAATCTCTTCGAGAGGTTACGGATCAGCAAACAGGACAAGATTGCGGCCAATGTTCAGCAACACATCAGAGCTATTCGGGCCGCAGAGGCTCTCGACCGACAGACTGGTCCTCATCGGCGCAAAAATAGTGAGTGCTCTCATCCCTGGCATCTCTCCGTCGCTATCCATATCTCATTACACATGACATTCAAATCAATATAATTTACTAATGATATGTTACATTGAATTTAAGGCTCAAAACTGGTTCCGCAAAGAAGTACGAGTAGTGGTGAAGAGGAGGGTCTGGGAGCGGACGCCCGTAAGATGCGTTTGGTAGCGATGTTACGCCAGGCGTACGGCAATGACATTGAAAGAGTGCCCGGATTTATAGAGTTCGCCGAATCGGCGAAAGTGGAGTCGCGGCGAACATATGTGGACGCGTCCGCCCAGACGTCCTATGATTTGCTCGAGACTTGGTTTCCGGCGCTCAGGAAACGCATCGCAGAGACAGAGAAAGTGAACAATAATATCGCCGCCGACGAGGAAGACATGCCATCTGTGGTCAAAACGAACCAAAAGTTTATTCACTCTAAATATAATCACTTAAACCAACAAAAACATTTGGGTACGAGTTGTGAACACTTTTGGGCATTTCATTTTTTAGTTTATGAAAAAATCATTTATCTTTTGCATACATTTACTGCAAAAAAACACAATATATTAATCGATAAAATATTCATCACTTAAATATGTAGACAATGAGAATGTAAGGCAAAGTGAGCCCAAGAATATTCTCAACTCTTTTGAACAAAAAATAATTTCATCCCTTATATAAAGTCGAGACCTATTTATTTCATTTGTATAATTTTTAGTACAGAATAATATGATATATTTTAATATTATGTGAAGTCTATATTTTTATTATTAAATTATTTTTATCAGTCATTATTCATATTCATGAATGTTTCGCATATGAAATGCAGATCTTTTTGTGGTTTTGTTTCCATATTTGAAATGAATGGAAACCCTATTTCTATACTCATCTCTATATTACCAGACATTAATCAACAAGAGAGAAAAGAAAAGATGGCCATCAGTAAGACATTCGTCTAATTATTATTTATGGTCAAAATCTATTGAGTGCTCTCTATTCCCATCAATATCTTAATTATATGGCAACTCCTGATATGTGTGTTTGATTTGAACAC